CCCCTTTTTATCTCATTTTCTGAACTCATGTATGGGCGGCCCGTTCTAACCCCGGCCTCCCACCTAAAACCTTCCCCCTTCCTGATCACCTGCTCACGCCACTACTAACCCATCTATGCTCACTACTGTGGGATTTTATCAACCACTTATTACCTCAACCATGTGCTAATCCATGTCCACCACCAATTAAAATAGGAGATCAGGTATTATTCCCCCCCAGGTCAACGTCCCTCACCCTTTCCCCCTAAATGGCAGGGTCCCCTCAGAGTAATTCTTTTTGACACCCATAGCTGCTAAGCTTGAGGGAATTCCTCACTGGATTCACCTGTAACATCTTAAACCGTTTACTCCTCCAGCTCAAGACAATCCGTCATACATGGTAACTCAGACAGGACCTCTCTTAAGTTCCAGAGGACTCCAGTCCAAGGAAAATAGAGGTCCTGTCCTTCACTCAACTCTCTTGTGCCAACATATTTTTCTTTCTCCTCTTTTTCTAAATTTCTGATTAACCACTCAGCTGTCTTTACAGGAATCATCATCAGATATGGAGCCAACGGTTCAGGTGGTAAGCAAATTCTTAACAAAGTTCCTTGACACTACAGGTTCGCCACTGACTGCAGCAGTGTCTCCTTGATGTTAAGGTAATGCCCAAAACATCATACATGGTTAAGAATTTATTTCTTTTAAGACATTTTCTTTAAGCTCCAGGGAGCCAGCTTGACCCACCTGAATGGACCAGACTCGAAAGGAATAAGTACTCAAATGGAATAAGTATCATTTAATTTTTTATCATTCTTGGCCTCAGAAACCCAAAAGCCCCTCCCCACCTCAAACCCTAAAGCCCCCCCATCAAATCTCCCCTTTAATTTTTTTTCCCTCTCCTAACGTGACTTTTGTTTTTTTAGCACCTTGCGATGACCCAGTCCCTCAAGACCCAGGCAGATGCAATGACACAGATCCTCAAGACACAGATGGATGCGGTTTCAATCAGCCATCCCGGGATGCCAGCAAACAGGACATGATCACCAGGACACACTGGACACCCCAGACTCCTCGACACCCACAAAGTCAACAGGAATCAGTTATGAGAGACCGGGCTACACCCCTATTTCCTACCCATTAAGAACCTCAACCCCCCCAGATTTTTAATAAATCAAAAAGGGTGGAAATGTTATTCCCCAGAAGGTCCATGAGCATCACTCGCTTGGAGAGACACATTTCCCAGGAGCACCTAGCTGTCCACACAAAGGCTGCCCAGGTGCAGAATGTGGCGTTTGACGCACATGCGTGGGGGACCCTTTAAAACCTGGAACGCTGTCCATTTGTCTTCTTTTCCCTTCTCTCCCTTTACTGTTACTCATGCTGCAATAAACCTCATGCCACATGGGTTTTGTTGTGTCTTGCGTCCTCCTTTCGTCTCCGAGAAGAAGAAGAACACTCGTCCGGGAAGAAGAACAGTTAGTAATTCTGAGATTTGATATTTACTATTATTTTATACAATGCCTGAAGAGGAAAGAGCAAATCATATGAGGGAATTAATTGTCAAGACTTTATTCTGTCCTCTGTAGTTCTGTGCCCAATATCCACACAAATAACATACCAGAAATGTATGTAACTACACAGATTTTTTTTTCTTTCTGCTGGCAGATACTTTATTATCCTTTGCTCACACCACGCATGTATCATATTTTGGAGCCAGATAACCATAGCATATTCCTATCACTGCTGCTGACAATTCATCTTACCTAAGGTGTGTAGCATAATATCTCATTACTGACTGGGTGTTGAGTCCTGGCATAGCAGATCTTGAAAAAACTCTCTTAACAACTATCATGTATTATTTAATTATCACTGCTTTATAATTAATATGCTGTGAACACCCTGTCTACTCTTACCATACCAGTAATTTCCTGCTCACACATGATATAATATAGATATTCTCAAAGGAGTTTTTGATGTGGGACAATTCTGTATTCTGTCAATTACATTTTAAATAATTGCTGATTGGCCAGTATCCAGGCAGGATATATAGGTGGGACAACCAGACAGGAAGTAGAGGCAGGACAATGAGAACAAGATTATTCTGGGAAGAAGGAAGCTCTTCCTCCACTCCTGCCCAGACCACCGGAGAAGCAAGATGTGACCTACCCTGCTGAAAAAGGTACTGAGCCATGTGGCTAACATAGATAAGAATAATGGGTTAGTATACATTGTAAGAGTTAATAAGAAGCCTGAGCAGTAACATGAAGGGGGGCTAGCTTGTTTGTTGTTGGGGTTTTTGTCCTCCCATCAGGTAACCCACAACTGTTTAGCCCCAAAGAAAATCATACAAAGATCTCTATAAGTTATAAAGCTGATTGGCCCATTAGCTCTAGCCTCTCATTGGCTAACTCTCACATCTTGTTTAACCCATTTTTCTGATCTATGTTAGCCATGTGGCTCAGTACCTTTTTCAGTGGGGCAGATCACATCCTGTTGCTTCAGTGGTCTGGGCAGGAGTGGGAGGAATCAATTTCCTCCTTTCCAGAATTCTCCTGTTCTCATTACTTCATTTCTATTTCCTGTCTTGTTTTTCCACTTATACTTCCTATCTGGCCAATCAGCATTTATTTAAAACATGATTGACAGAATACAGACAATTTTCCCTCACCACTGAGCTAATGGGCCAATTAGTTTATAACATATATACCTCTGTGTGATTTTTTTTTGGGGGGGGGCTTTCCAGCTGTGGGAACTGGGCAGAACAGAAACCCAAACAAGCAGACCCTTGTGTTACAAGGTTTTACCCAACACTATGGATTTTTAGAGGTAAGATACTCTTATTTAGTCAAGTCTGTGATTCCAGGTAAAAGTAATGCTCATGCTTTATTATTTCACAAAGCAGCAGTAGGAGAAAAAAAGGTGTTATTATGTATTGCTGATGTCTAAAATGGTTATTCAAAAGTAATAGACTGAGTGTTGTCGGTGCTTAGTAACTTTACAGAATCAGGTGTTGAGACTTATGAAGAGCTCACACATAAATGATCACTGGTCTAAGGAAAGATATATCTTCCAGGAAAGTCAGAAGAGGAAAACATGTCTCTTGGCCCTCTAACAGGACCTGAATCTCACAGTTTTGTCATTACAACTAACAGAGATATAGTAGGACACACTGAATGTTACACCTACAATAAAAAAAAAAAAAAACTTCTAAAATGCACATTCTAGTGATTAAAGAATTCTCTTGGAAGTTGTCACATTGGTATTCAATAGTGGCCTTCCATTTGGTTTAAAGTCATACACCATAACATTTATGAGATAAAATAAAACCTGAAAAGGATCTTGAGGATGTTATTTTAAATTATTGAATCACAGTTTTAAAAGAGTTCACTTTGTATGTGCAAATGTTTAAGTACAGTAGAGTTATAAACACAAATTGTTAGTTTCTCATTAGTTATTAAACAATACATTATTTCCTGGTAAAATTGTCTTCTTCAGAATTTACACTCAACTATAAGCAGTGCAGAGACAATATATTACATAGTTTTTCAGTGACTGCTTTGAAATGAAGTGAATCAATATGTGTTCCTGAGTTCAAACAACACTTAATGCATCATAAACTTAATTTTACTAATATTTACTATGTACAAAACAATGGTAAGGCATCTATATTTTAGAATATCATTCCATATATCTCAATAAAAGTTCCACCATTTACTTTCTAACTTTTCCCTTAATTTATACTTTTGTCTCAGCTTATTGGTCTATAAAATAGGATCATCAAAAGTTTCTACCAAAGAGTGTTTGTAAGCATCTGAGATATTCTAGTAAATAAAAAGTTGCTATTATTTTGTTTGGCAGTTTTTCAATTACTTGTCTTTCCATTAATCATAAGTAAAATTAAGGAATTATTTTATATCCCTGTTACATTTTTCATATGATGAGGATAGTCTATTTGCAGAACTAAATGAATTAAAAAATATTATTGATGATTATAGAATAATATTACTTCAACCAAACATTTAAACAGTATCTACACTATATATTTATAAGTGGGTTGATGAAAGCATACATGAGAGATCAATGTCCCAAAACTCAAGAAGGATATTTTATAATGTATTAAAGGGGAAAAACAAAAAAAAAAAAAACTGTGCAGTAAATTAGGATGGGATGAAAGAAATGGAAGAGAGGTAGCATTCATGATTATCAAAGAGAATCTAGAGAAAGCTCAAGGAACTAAAACTCTTCAAAAATATCTATGGCTGGGTATATCATATGCAAAGTAAAGGGAGATAAATTGGAAACTGTACAGTGATGTGATAAGATCAAAGCAATGTCATATAAACCTTGATAATGTATGTGAAAGAGACATTGTGGAGTTATTTAGCTGTTTTTTGTTGTTTTGTTTTATTTTTTGTTTCTTTGTTTGTTTGTTTGAAACAGTGTTTGTCTATAGCTTTGGAGCCTTTCCTGGAACTACCTCTTGTAGACCAGGCTAACCTCAATCTCAGAAATCTACCTGCCTCTGCTTCCCGAGTGCTGGGATTAAAGGCATGGACTACTACTGCCTGGCTATTTAGCTGTTTTAAGAGCAGAAATTGAACAATTTAATTTTATTTTGCCCATTCTAGTTTGCCCATACTATTGTATAAACTGACTGAGCTGAACTAAGAAAAAAGACAGTTACAGTATTGAAAGTGAGGACCTTTTACTTGAGAAGAGGAAAGGACGTTGCATAGAAGCTCATTCAAGACATATATAAGAAATCAAATCAAAAGACTTGGTGCATTGTGATGAGTAATACTGTATACCAATTTAAAAGGCTATGAAATCACCAAAGAGATGGCCTCTAACCAATGTAAAAAGAGGCAATATGACCACAAAAACAGTAATGTGGATGTAAATCAAGGAAAGATTATCTTTGAGAAGCATAACTGTGAATTTTGTGTCATCAAGTTTGCATTAGTCTGTTACTTCAGGATTAAGAAACTATTACATTGCTTTTCCGAGTCGCCGTCAAGATGGCCGAAGTGGAGCAGAAGAAGAAGCGGACCTTCTGCAAGTTCACCTACTGCAGCGTGGACCTGGACCAGCTGCTGGACATGTCTTATGAGCAGCAGATACAGCTCTACAGCGCCCAGCAGAGGCAATGCCTCAACCACAGCCCAAGGCAGAAGCAGCACTCGTTGCTCAAGAGCCTGAGGAAGGCCAAGAAGGAGGCCCCACCCATGGAGAAGCCCAAGATGGTGAAGACCTACCTGCAGGACATGATCATCCTGCCCGAGATGGTGGGGAGCATGGTGGGCGTGTACAAAGGCAAGACCTTTAACCATGTGGAGATCGAGCCTGAGATGATTGGCCACTACCTGGGCGAGTTCTCCATTACCTACAAGTCTGTGAAACACAGCCGGCCTGGCATTGGTGCCACCAACTTCTACCACTTCATACCCCTCAAGTAGCTGTGGCCAATAAAAACTCATGTTCAGTCAAAAAAAAAAAAGAGAGAAAGAAAGAAAGAAAGAAAGAAAGAAAGAAAGAAAGAAAGAAAGAAAGAAAGAAAGAAAGAAAGGAAGAAAGAAACTACTACATTAAAGCACATATTTAGTTTTACTTGTATTTGTTAGGCTGACACCTCCCCCCCCCCCTCTTTTTTTTGGTTTTTCGAAACAGGTTTTCTCTGTGGTTTTGGAGCCTGTCCTGGAACTAGCTCTTGTAGACCAGGCTGGTCTGGAACTCACAGAGATCTGCCTGCCTCTATCCTCTCCCTTTTTATATTATGTCACTAAGACTTGTTTGGCAATTTAAGTGTCTAAAATGATTGTTGTGCGGGGGAGGATAAAGTTTCAATTAATTTATTAACATACACACAAAAAAACTTTGAGTCCAGAATATCATATAGTGTATCAAATTTATTATCATTGCTAAGTTTTGTGGTCAAAGAATTGTTTTATGCTAGCAAAGTGTCCCTTGTGTACATTGACAGTTTCTTTATTCTTATAATTCATTTCCTCACTTTTCCTTATGTGAAATTTTCTGGAGAGATATGAACAAGCATTTATTGAACCCAGATAAGATATTGAGAATAGACAAGCATAACAATTTCACAATTTCCAGCTGAGGGAATCAGTGAATTTATTGGAATTATTAGAGTTGTATTGGTGTAAAGACCATCCCAGCATGGGTGAAGAGTCACTAAAGCTTCTTCTTTCAAACTCCTTGTATAATTTGCAGGCAAGCTAATCAGGTTGGAGACTATCTTCTCCTTAGCAATAGTTATTCTTTACATAACATTGGGCAAAGGTGTTGTGAATCATGAAAGTTTTATGAAATTCCAGAAACAGACATTTTGTTTGCTTCCTGAGGTTCACTCCAGGAAGGATTTTTTCAAAGCAGAGAAAAATCACTCTACAACAGTCTTCTTCTTTGAGTTGATTTTCTAAGGACATTCATAATTACTTATCTTTTATCCATTTCTGTCTGCTTTACTTCACTTGTGAAAGCATTAATAATATACACTATAATATGTGTGATATGTTCACATGCATGCTAATTTCACCCAGTTAATGACCTCTGAGGTATCATTAATGATCTTTGTGTATGTTAATGTATATAATGACCTGTGAGAAGTATTCTTACTTTATAGAAAGAGAAGTTTAGAAAATTCAAAGAAGCACCATTAGGTTTAAAGCCTCTTTCTTCTTTCTATTGCATTTTAAGGGAAAACATTCATTTGAGACATATTGTGATACTATCAGTTCTGGATAGGATTGGAGAATCCAAAATCTCTATGGAATACTCAGTTGATTCTAGTGTTACTCATAAAAACACTCTGAACAGCAAGAGGACTTACTTGCTATGAGTTTCATAATAGAAATTACACATTCAAATTTAAAACCAATTAATTTTAGCCTCAAGGCATGTATTACTTGCAGAACTATGTTGCAAAGAAGAAAATTTCAGCCTATCTTAATATAAAATGCAAGTATAAATGTTTTTCCATGTTTTTTGTACTTTTCTATCATATTTTTAATTAAGATTATTATGAATGATTCACTAATTCATGAAATAAAATATCATACATTTGTTTATTATATACAACATATTATTCACAGACTAAATCTGATTTTACACACTATAAATAGAATCTGATCTTGTTTGAAATGCTTACAGAACAAAAAAATGATACCATATTTTTTATATTTTTCTTTATATCAAAAGTAGTTTGTTAAGCAATATATCCTGTTTATGATTTGTCCTCTTTCTTCTCTTTCCAGTTCTGTCCCACCTCCTCTCACATCTGGATCCATTCCCTTTCTTTCTCTCAATAGAAAACAGTCATTTAAGGGACAAAAATAATAATAATATATATATAAGATAAAAGCAAGCACATGTGATAGGACAAAATAAAACAAAAAAACATATCATTTGTTTTTATTGTTCTTAGTCATTCTTACAGCTGTAAAATGAAATCAACAGCAAGTTTTTATTTACATGTTCCTGATGATAGAAAATTTTGAACAATTCTTAAATGTTTCGTAGTCATTTGAGCTTTCTCTTTTAAGAATTATTTATTTAGATATATACCTCATTTTTTAAAATTCAGTAAATATAAATTTAGTAAAACACTTTTACCATTCTGTATTTTGGTGTTTTGCACAAATAATGGTATTCTTTCGCATGCAGAAGATTTTCTTTTTCATGAACTCCCATTTATTAATTGTTGATATTAGTGCCTGCAGTATCAATGTTCTGTTCAAGAAGATATCTTCGGTGCTGATGCACTCAGGGCTGTTCCTCAGTTTTTCTTTTTCTTTTTTTTTTCTGTCAGATTCAGTGTGCCTGGTTTTTAGTTGAAGTTTTGGTTCACTTGGTCTTGAGTTTTGTGTATCATGATAGATCTATTTTTCATGTTTGTATGTTCTACATACAGTCATCAAGTTCAACTAGCATCATTTGCTGTAGATGGTTGCTTTTTTACAGTGTGTTTTTCTGGCCTCATTATAAATTATTAGGAATGCATAGGTGTGTGGATTTATATTTTTAACTTGTAATGTAAGCTATTTGTTAAGCCTGTTTGCCATTTATGAAGCATCATGTTAGTTTGCATATAGTCTTTTAATATGATTTGGAGAAGTAGGGTATATAATAAAATATTTCTTTTCACTGATTGTGAAGCATTATTTCTTCTTGCACCTAAAAAAGTGTTTTCCTCTACCCAACTGTTAATAAGCAAATTTCCAGTATTTTGACAAATATATATATATATAATTTTAAACACATCTCAGTCATATAATTAACATTCAAATTAAGCATATTGCCAAATAGTATTAAGACACCAATGTGGATCCTTGGAAAAATTGACTCCTTGTCATTCTACAGTATGTTCTCCCTCCCCTCTCTCTTCTCTGTCTCTCTTCCTGTATGTGTGTGTGCTTTACTATGATCATGCAAGTAAATTAAAAAAAAAATAAATCAGTTCTTTCTCTCACCAAGACAGAAATGATAACTAAATCAAAAGGAGACTAAAATAACCTTTACTACTTTTCTCATTTAAAGTTGCTTATTTAAAATGCAATTAAGAAGAGTTCAGGAACTTGAGTTTCATTGGGGACTTATAGTAACCAGTAGAACAAACCAAGCATTTCTGAGCATTATTAATACAATAATACAATCACTTGAGGAATGGTGAACATGATGCATTTTATAATTTAGGAAAAGATGCTATTTTAAATTCTATACTAAGGCTCAGTGAAGTTTTATGACCTTGAACATTTTTGGAAGGGTATTTTCATGATTGATTTCAGTTGTACTAAATATTATTTAGCTGTCATTGAAGAGCTCATATATTTAATCTGATATTTTAATTACATTTTTCAAATTTAAAATATGCTTTTATTTTCAATAGTCCTTAATTTGAATTTCTTATGCTTATGAGGAAAAAATTTGTGTAGCAAAATGCACTATTTACAAATATTTATCTGGCAGTATAGTGGCAAAGATAAGAGATTTCAAAAGGTGTAGAGAAAGCTTTGCATGTGTTCCATATATTCAGTGAAAAACAAACTCTAATCTTGATTTAAGAAATTATAAAATACATCAGTCTCTTGGGCTAATTTGTTTCTACCTAACTGTTCCCTGTTCTAACCTGGTGTGTTTTGAAAGACAGAGAGTAAGATGTCTCACTGTTTTTGATATAGAATTGTCTCTCCTCCTGGAAAGATTGCAGACAGATGGGAAGTGGAGATAGGCTTTTAATCTGTCCTAAATTCAAACATGAACAGTGGGATCCATTTGACATGGGGAAAAAAAGAGAAATATTCAGAAATAGATGTTGCTGCAACAGTTCTGATATGCAAATATTCATTTCTTTCTAAATAAACAGCAGAGTAAAGTGTTAATTACTCATGTCATTTGCTTAGCTTCAAATGTATATATTTGAAAATTATTAATTTTCCATATTGTTATCGAATAATCCATCATATTTCCAGTATCAAAATTATATAATATTGTAATAAAAACTTCTAGGGTAAACTGGAGATTTTGAATATTTTATGAGGATAAATTTACTGATAGTATTAAAGGTCAACTTTTCCTGTAGTGAATTTTTAAAAAGTCACAATTGTGCATGTGCATGGCAGAAATGTAAGATGTTTTTGGTCTTAGTGAATTAGGGAAAGTAAATAATGGAGATTAATTATGGTCTCTGCAATTGCTTTCCTTTGTGATCACAGCTACACATTTCCTGTACTGTTTTTTGTTTGTTCTTTTTGTTGATTTGCTTGTTTGTTGGCTTTGTTAAAGCTGAAAATAGGTCTTAATACATCCTAGTCACAGATTCCCCTTGTTCAACTCTTCCCAGCTCCCTCACAACCTTCTCTCAAAGATACATTTCCCCTTCATTTCTTTTCATAAAGTAGCAGACATCCAAGAGGCAACAATGAAACAGGACAAAGCAAGATACACAAAGACAAGGCAAAAGACCTTGTATCAAGGATAGACAAGACAGCTCTATATAAAGATTCTCAAGAACAGGCCAAATGACTCTTTTCTATGGACAGGACTCCAACAAAAATACCAAGCCAACAGCCACAATGTACATACAGCGGACCTGGTGTAGACCCATGCTTGCTACTAAAGTGTGTATGAGCCCATATGAGTCCTATTAGTTGAATCGGTTCTCTATGTTCTCCTGGCATCCTCTATCCCCTCTGCCTATTATAATTTTCCCCCCTCTTCCATGGAATTCTGGTGTGGTACAATTCTGTTTTCTGTCAATTATGTTTCAAATAAGTGCTGCTTGGTCAGTAGCCAGGCATGAAATATAGGTGGGACAACCAGAGAGGAAGTAGAGGTGGAGCAAGGAGAACAGGAATGTTCTGGAAAGAAGGAAGTTCTTCCTACAGTCCTGCCCAGACCACAAAAGTAGCAGGATGTGATCTAGCCCACTGAAAAAGGTACT